GACAAAGCGGGAGCCAGTAACGGAGGATTTTACCAACCCGTCCAAAAGAATCATGCGGCAATATATGCAACTGCCGCCGCAGGAATGTGTGTAAAAGCGAATGTTATCATCAGTTTCAGTAATTCTGGATATCCGTTCATGTACATCAATTCGAAAAAGTCCTTTTAAATTGTGACCACCCGGTTGTTCAGCTAAAACATCCGTGGGCGGTCTACCGGATGAAATAGCTACTTTTGTTTGCTGACCGTAGAAGGAAGGAATGTGCCCGGCCAAAGACACAAACCTTTTTAAGGAATGGTGCAGTTGGGCAGGACCCCTGCCTATCGGGCTACGACCAATACCCAAATTACCCCACCACAGCTAGGCGACGTCAGGTTCCCTGTCTAGCCACCTTTTAACCGGTAACCAGTGGAGGGGCTCCCAAAATCGGTAGCAGTCGAGAGGTGGGAAACTCATGAAAAAAAAAAAACAAACGCAACAACACATTTATGAAAAAAAAAGGAAACTCATGAATTATCGATACAGCGTTCTCTGGCACAAAAGATCATTGTCATCATCATTTCGTTCAAGGACCAGCAATTTGGATTGCATTCCCTTTTAACTTCACGTCTCTCTCTCTATACCTGTGTCACATGGATTAAAACTAACAAGATGAAATCATTGTGATTTCAGCGAAAAAATAAAAAAAACCAATTAATCAATCAGTCAAAAAGTTATCACATTTCTGAAACAAAGACTGCCGCGAAAAATTCATGGCCCATTCATTTTAGGGGGCGCCAAAGAGTAATTTTGCTGTAGCGAAGTGCAAGACAGTTCAAAAACAACTGTAAATAATTAAATGGCACACAGTGAATGTAATGCCTGGACGGACCAACCATTCAGCAGCTTTTGGTCATTGTAAGCTTGAGGGCACATGGCGCCAAGAGATTTGAGTAATAAAAATAGGACAAGTGCCCGTTCAAATCACGTTGATCCAAAAAAAAAAAAATCATTGAGGAAACAATACTTATGGGCTCCCGCTCAGCTCGTATGAAAAAAGAGGCGGGTTGCATTAGAAATATTAGAGCGGAATATAGCAGCAAACGGTGACTGCTATCATCAGCCTGAAGAAATGTTTACAGTTTGAGGATCTTCATATCGGACAAATTAGCCACCTTTGTTGTTGTGCCTCCTTGCACCTGTGGCTCCTGCTGTTGCTGCTCCTCCGTTGAGCTTTGTTGCGAGGGTTGCTGCTGCTGCTGCTCGGCCATCATTACATCATCTGCTTGCTGCGCAGCTTCCGGTGTCTTTTCATGTTCTTTCGGAACTGTCGCAACATTTTCCAGCCCTTTCGGGCACTTCATTTGCCGAAATTCCTCTTCCAGTGATGCCGCGTGACGCTGAAAAAAAATTTTGCAATTTTTACTAATTCCTTAATATTATTGGCTTTTGCCTTCTT